TATAAATCACAAGAAACTTGAATATTTCATGTTGGCATGTATTTTGAATTGTCACTAAGTCCATTGGAGCATGCTAATATTAAGATTTGATTTTAAGATCATTTATAAATTAAAAAAATAATAAGGTTTATTAAATACTTTTTTTAGACATTTTTATCTTGTATCAAAAGAAAGAGATGCAGAATTTGATCAACAAAGAATAATTTTCTTGAAGCCAAAGTATTTTCATCTTTGAGCAATAAAATCAACATTAATTGCTGATTCAACCTTTATTAAGCAAATTCAATAAATTATATCTTTTGATATTTTTGTTTCTGATATTAAGAATAATTTTTTTAAGTCTTGTGATACTTGTAAGTTCAAATTTAAGAATAATCTACTCTACTTTCAGAGACAATTATACATTCTAAAAGACAAAGTATAATTATTTATTCTTCAAACTTGTCATGAATTTTTAGTAGCTAGATATTTTTGATATAATAAGACTTTAGAGCTAATATCTAAAACAAATTGGTGGCCTCAAATATGGAAGGTAGTCAAAGACTTTGTACAATCATGTAATACTTCTTTAAGATCCAAAATTCCTCATCATTCACCTTATGGACTTTTTTAGCCATTACCTATTTTAGAACAACCACGGTCCTTTGTTTCTATGGATTTTATCATGGAACTTCTAGTCTTAGGTTTGTATAATTCTACATTTGTGGTAATAGATTATTTCACTAAGATGGCACATTTTGTATCATGTACAAAATCTATCACAAGTAAAGAAATCGCTAAGTTTTTTTTTAATAACATCTATTACTATCATAGATTGTTCCAAGATATTATATCAGATAGTGGGGCTCAATTTGTATTAAGATTTTGAAAAATCCCTTTTGGGATTTTAAAGGTGGATATAAAGCTCTCTTTGACTTTTCATCCTCACATTGATGGACAAACAAAAATGGTGAATTAAATTTTAGAGCAATATTTGAGGTGTACCATCAACTATTATCAAGATGATTGAACAATTCTTTTACCATTGGCAAAGTTTGCATATAATAATTTGGTACATTCTTCTATTTAACAAACACTTTTTTTTACCAATTATAGTTATCATCTATAATTTGATACTTTTGACTTTTTAAAAGTTGATAATCTTTCGGCAAAAGATTTAGCAATTTTTTTGTCAAAACTACATGTAACAATGAAGGTGTACTTAAAGGGAGCTCAAGAACAACAAAGGATTAATATGGATGCTTATTGCAAGGAAAAACCACAATCCAACATGTATAATAAGATATGGTTACTTTGTCACAATATCAAGACTAAATGTCCTTATAACAAATTGGACTATCATAGGCTTTGATCTTTTCTTATTAGTGAATAAATCTAACTTATTGCTTATTGATTACATCTACCAAAGTCTATAAAGATCCATCCTATATTCTATATATCTCTCTTTCAGTTATATAAGACAGTGAATGTTTGGAAAAGAAGACAAATGCCACCTCTTCTTATAAAAGCAAATAATAATTAAGAATTTGAAGTAGAAAAATTCTTAAATTCAAAGAGACATTGAAATAGGTTAGAATATCTTATTTATTGGCAAAGATATGATATTAGTCAATGCACATAGAAGCCATAAAAAAAATCTTACAAATAGAATAAAAAAAATTGAAGTTTTTTTATTGATAATATCTATTAAAACCAAGATAAAGAATATCAAATCTTTGCTATAAAAGAAACAAGAGCCAAAAAAGATAATATTCTATCTTTTATTCTTCTTTGATACTTTTGTGCATTTGAGATGCTAAAGAGATGGAAAATCAACAACCAATAGATTCAATTCAAGAACTTTCACATGCTGATTTATTAAGCAAGATATTACAATTATCACAATCTTTAAGTTGACATAATTGAGATGGAGATTCTTAAGAATAACATGTCATTTCTTAAATAGATGGCAAGATATAACATATTTGGTATCTTGATTTTGGAAAAGATTCTTGATGTTTGGTGATTTTATTAGAGGTAGGAACAATTCCTGATAGTATTCAAAATATTTTATTTGAAAGAAGTTATGAAGGCTTTAATAATAATCAAATAATAAGGTGGTCTTTCTACCTTAATATGAGACACTATCAATGGCTGAGAGGACCTATCAACCATTTTGAAAGAGAACAAAGATCAGAGTAAGTAGCAAATACAATTCACTACATCTTAGATTTTTTCAACATAAAATGACCACTCTTCATGCAACACGTCCCTAGAAAAAGGAGATAATAGCATGGACATATATATTTATTCTAATATTTACATATGTGATTAAATAGAAGTAGATAAAAATAAATTTATTTCATTATATTTTCTAGAGAAGCTTCCTAAAAGCTTTATAGATGCTTCTTTGACTTTACATATGTTTGTAGTTGATTGATAGGTTAGAAACTTTGTTAATATGTTAAATACATATTAATAGCTTATAGAATAAGCTAATTATGTGGTATATATATATAAAACTTGCTTTACAAGTTAAGATTTGTATTTTGTAAAGTCAATATGTTTTGGAGGTCCTATAGGACATTGCTATATAGATCTTAGTTGAGAGTATATATGGAGGCAAGAGTGAAGCCTTCTTCATTCTTATCAATGTCTTTCTAGTCTTTAGTCTTCTTCCAAGACTTTCTACTCTTCTTATCTTTAGCAATAGCTATTCTAGTTTAATACTATATGATCTTTGAATGATTTTTTAATCTTTTCAAATATCACAAGAGTGTATTGATATTTTAGTTCTTTGATGTTCATGTCCTTGACAAGTTGTCCTGAGGAATTTTACTCCTCAATGATAAAAGTCTCATTATATTGACTTATTTTTTTGTGAGAATTCAAATTCTATGGTTCTTTTATGGATTGTTTGCCAAATTGTCTTTTGTCATGCAAACAATAGCCAATATTTTAAATCTCACATAATGCCTATGTTTTATCTGCAAGTTTTTATTTCACATCTACATGATATTTATGGATACTTCAGTCAACACCACTCATTGTCTTATTTATATTCCTTCATATACTTAGGACATGTGGTGATAAATGCATGGTGGTTTATATCTTCTTTTTTGTCAGCATTTGACATATATACATGCTATGATGTTGCAGATATATTTTTCTAGAATGATTCACTAATACTAATATAAAGAAATAAAATAATACTAAGATAAAGAAGATAGAAAATAGCATGATTCCATTGAAAAATTGTTAAGCAATTGCCATATATTGCATAAGATTTATTCTAAAAACTCACATCTATGTCATCTTTAGGTAAATGCATGGGTACCTAAACTATGCAAAGTTTAAAAAGAATACTAATATTCATAGCAATGAGTTATTTTTACATTTTAATTTATATGTTAGGATGATAGCAGGCTTCAAATAATTGATGTTTAAATTTAGAATAAAAAGACTTTATAATCCTTTTTAGAAATTACTTCATATAACAACTTTGAATAGGCAATTGTCATCTTCTTGGTATCTCACGCCTTAAAATAAAAGCCAAGTGAAGAAGTAGCTTTTTGACTGCAATGGTGCACAATGGATTGAAAATGCTTGGAATCATGCAAGATCATATGATATTGTTCTCACATGAATTGAATATTCTTAGGTTGGTGCAAGTACATTTTACTACAAATTGATCCATCAATCCATCACCATGATATTGTAACTTATATCTTTACAACTCCCTTATAAACACCTCATTCCTTCATTTCTTCATTATACATAATTTCAAGCTTACTTACATTGTTTTATGCTATAGAAGCTCAATTGTGACCTTTATAATTTGTTAGTGGTTTTCTTTCTAGGTTTATAGAAGGAAGAGTACCAACTGGATTGTGATCTAATTTGTGGAGGACGAGTAGCTTACAACTTTTGAAGTTGTGAATGAAATTAGGGCATTGATTTTAAAACAGTTGTGGTGTAATGTGATGGTCAATTCAATCAGTTGCTCTATGCATACTTTGATAAGATCAAATATATATTAAAATCTAGAGGAAATTCAACTCTTGCATCAAGTGCACAAAGGGGATACCAACGGTTTGCTTACTAGCTTTTACATTTTCTTGGAGAAGACACAATCATACAAATGAGATAAACAACAAGAGAATTGTATAATCAAATTTCTACGTAAATAGAACAAGTAACAATGAGAGAAGGGGGGTCAAGACAAGGGATGGAATTGGGGAGGGGATTGGAAGGATGGGAATGTGGAGAACTAGAAGAATGAAGATGTGAGCCATGAAGGTGCAATCATGTTCGAAATAAGTGGGTCACTTTATCATTTTCCAAAATTTAATGAAATTCAAAAATAGATCAAAAATTTTAAATATAAAGAATTGTATGTATGATAAATATTATTCATCAATTAATCTAATATATTATCACTTTCAAAACTTATAAAACAATCCAACATTTGTCATAATTTTTACCATTTTCTTTTCTCTATTTTGAAATTTGAGGTTTGTTTTGTATATATATATATATATATATATATATAAATATGAATATATTTATAGAAATTGATTACTAATCAAAATAGTCGTAATGTTGTTTCATATGTAAGTTATTTTTAAAAGTAATATGCATTTCATATCATGAAAAAAAAACATCAAACAAAATCAAGTAGGACATTGCCAAAGAATTTATTTGATATTAGATTCAATACAAAAGCGTGTAATAGGAACAAAGATACCTTGCACCTCAACATGGTACAAATTAGTTGTGAAGGTTACTCAGCCGCTTGTCTACTGCTTTGAGAGCATTTGAGTTAGAACGTATAGTTCAGTCCTAAAGATACTCGTTTAAAAGGTAAATAACAACTTAAGCAGTTGAGACAGAAATCACTGATAAAGCATTTCATTCAATCCCCTCCTTGCAAATAGTGAACTTTTGGGTGCTTTAAAAAAGGTTCAGAAAAGAAACATCCATTCTGCATTTGCAATCTTAGACAGTACATGAGACTATGCTTGAGAGATGAACAAAACAAAAACAAAAAAATGGGCCCAAATCTGGCATGCAAACTTAAGCCTTGCCTACATCCAATCCTAAAATCCAACCGTATCAATTGCACTTTGGACTTCAAAGAAATATACATTCCCGTCAATCACAGTTTCTTCAAAGTCATGGGATTTCAATTCGAGGCAAGCCGCAATGTGTGAATCATGTTCTACAACATGCTTGTCTGTACAAGTCACATGATATGGCAGAAGGTGAGACATCCTTCACTTGGGGTGTGTCTACCCAAGTGTATATCAGAACCATATAATACTTCATGTACCGTCATATCGACACAATTTCCCACCACCTCTTCGAAAAAGAAAAAGAAAAAGAAAAAAAGAATGTGGAGGTTTCACAATCACACCTTGCACAACGCATAAGAAAATGATCAAGAACATGGAGTACCACCCAGATCGGAATAATCTCAGTTTCAACGAGGTGTCACTTGAGGCATATCCATTGGTGGGTCTTCCACTAAATCATCCATTTGTATCTGCATTACTGGCTTCGTGGGCGCCACCATTTCTGCCTCGATTAGGGCGACAGTTGGAGGTGGCGGAGCTTCAGTAGCCTGCTCCGGAGGAGGTGACAGGCCAAGGGTGTCCCTTAAATCAGCCAGAAGCTCTTCGCAGCCTTGAGGTAAAGGCATTGTTCTTAAGAAAGCTTCAGCTTTAGGCAAACGGAAGGCCGTAGAGTTTTTCTGAACGGCCCTTCCTGGTTTTATAACAGCTTGAGAAATAAGATCAGTAGTCAACGGCCATGTAGTGATAGTGCTCTGTGTGGGAAGTTCTGAATCCAAGTTGTGGTATGCCAAGCTCATTCCCACCTAGAGGCAAAGAGTAAAATAAGATTATATGTCACCGGACCTCAAGTATGATTTCTCGTATCGAAACAAACCAATTTGTTGATATAGTACACCTTTCTAGAAACGAACAAGAGCCTACTGATGGAATCAGAATATGACTTCAAGGAGAGTGAATAGATGCAAAGAACTACCTGCCATTGAGGTTGTTTCAACATGATCTCAATCAACGTGTACGACAGGCTGTGATATAGTTCCCCTATAAGTTCTCCCCTACGTTTCTTCAATTTATTCACCTGAAGAGATATTAATACAGGTCAAATAACAAGTAAAATCCTGATAAAAAGACCTAGATATCGACTGTGGACAAAAATGTAGCAGTGTCAGCAAAATCTAGCAAAAAATCATTCGAATTACAATAGAAACAGAAAGCACGACTATTCAACTCATCAAGCGTACGAATTCTTTACTGTCGAATCCATCCAACCACAAGCAGTCGCACCTGTTCACGTCTTGAAACGTAGGCTTGTAAAACATTGCCGATGTAATCGATGAACAATTTGGGACTGTTTCCCAAGTGCTGCTTCTCAAGCTCTCGTACTGGTAGAAAGAAGGGGATCGAATGCTCAATGACGTGTAGCTTATCCATCGGGGAACTGCTCTTCAATACACAATAGTAGCTCTCAAACTTCTTCTCTTCAAAAGTTGTGTCGAAACGTATAGCAATGTGTCTACCTTTCACTCCTCGTATGACCTTGTGGTTAACAAGAAGAGTCAGATTCTCAGCATCCTCCTTACCTGAATAAACCCCCCTTTAATTTAGAGACTTAAACAAGGTCATTTGGTGATTATAAAGATACCAGCATGGAGCAGAAAGAATGAAATATGATCATTAAATCCGCTACATCCTACCTTCGAATGGTTCGTTCATTTCTTGGTCATCCTCCATACTAAGAGCAGCATCACTGTCATAGATTCTTTTCTGAAGCTCCTTAATAACGCTATCATTCCATTCCTCCGCCTCCAAGCACTTCCCTTCTGGCTCGTTTTCAAATTCTTCCTGTGGAGTAAGCGCAGTCCATAAGTTAAACGCTTCGTGTCTGCTTGAGACAACGGCTTTCCCTGAAAGAACAACCACCAGCAAGAATAGAACGATTCCGCTAGCAACATGCATGCCGTCTTCCCGCACTATACATTCATACAGCAACTTCAAGGACACTCTTTCAAGAGATCCCACATAACATTCGGACTCAACAGGCACAATGCAAAGTAGCTTACGAGCGAGTAAGGTCAGTTGAAACAAAATGCTCCACATCGTGCCATCAAACTCGCGGTCAAGTTTTCCATACTACTCGGAAAAGCTTTCCGTCAAACCCTCTCAAGCTCTTCAGTATTCAAGAGAACTAGGGTTTACAAACACGACTGATCCCCACAAAGCCTGACCTGCAATCTCGCGACCAGGGACCTTTGAGGTGGGTTAGCGTTGGTGAGCTTTTCTCGCAACACGGTGTGCCTCTGCTGCAGATGTCCAAGTCTCCTCCGAATGACATCCATAGACGAATCCTGGAAATCGGCCTCGCCATCGTCGTCACCGGCCAACATCCGCGCCTGCTTCGTGAGCTGCTCCAAGTGCTTCGGGGTCGTGTCCGCCAGCACGCGCTTGATCCTTTGCGCACTTCTCCTCTCACCCACCTTCCGCTTCTCCTTCTCCTCCGCCATAGCTTTCTAAACCCCACCTCCCTTCTCTGCCCTCTCTAACCAACCTACTTCCCCATCCTCACTCGAACCAATCTAAAGCTTTCAGTGACGATGATGATGGGGGAAAAAAAAAAAAAAAAAAAAAAAAAAAAAATTGCAATACGCAGCAACGACCCAGATTTTTTTCCTTTTTCTTCTCGTCGTCAAGTAAAACTTTTAAAATATACCTATCACCTTTACAACTGCCGCAAACAGTTCTTCTGAGCTCTTCTCCGACACAACCCGGGGAGACCAACCTTTGGCTCACGAGCTGCGGCTCGCATGAAGCGCAAGCTTGGTTTTCCCTCGTTCAAGCTCTCAATCTCGAAACAGAATTCGTACATTCATAAACTAACGTGGTCGTTGTGTGGCCCGGCGGATCTCGTTCGTGGATACCGAGGTGGTCCCTCCATTTTCACACCCGATTTTTCACAAACTTCGTCCTTCGGCATGGTCATGACCCCCGCGTAGTCCAGTTTTAAGTGACGAATTTATTCGAGAGATTCTAATTTGATTTCTTTTCAGTTTTTAAAAGAGTATTATCCATTGAAGTATAGATATGAGTTGCTTTAGCTTTTCAAACTTATACTTCAATATGGACGAAGATTGCTGACTCTTGAAGGTCAAATAGTTGTTCATTTGTGAAGACATTTTGTGAAAGACAATATATGGAAGTAACTTGACTATGTACGACCGAAAATCATGGGTGAACAAAATCCAGAATTATACATGTTCGATTTGGTAGTTTTAAATTGTCTGCATACAAATTTCTGCGATAATTTGTTCGGCGACAATATTCAATCTCCATTGTTTTAATTGTAAGAGTTTAATATTTTGGTGTTTTTCGGAGGAATTTAAAAGTACATAGTATGAAATTTGGGGAAAACAAATTAGTAGTCACGTAGTGTATATTTGTATGAAATAAGTAGCACATTTGAGATACTTCTAACCGGGTGCTCATGAGAAACCATAATCATGTTCCAAAAGACCTTGGGAATCCATATCATACTGACACAAGAATCATAGAGATACATCTTCTACAATCAACAATCTATGATAATCAACACAGTCTACCAGATAATGCCAACAAAAATGAGGAGGATCTTAAAGGCTTACGAGAGAGTATTCCTGTACAGATTGCAAGGTCACATGAGAGGTACATGCAGGTTTGCTAATTGAAAACATAATATTGATCAGTGAGACCTAGCCATTAAAACTCTTGAATGATTATGAAGACGAGGTCCAATACCAGTTGGGACTCGACGACTTCAAATTCATCAACGGTTTACAATACAAGTATTTGTTCAAGCTCATTCTAAATGCATGCCCACTTAAGCCTTCTAAAGTGGATACGTTCATGCAGGCACACAGATACTTATCTCAGAGATTCTCTAGAATGGCAACTCCACATTTGAGTGCGGTAGTTTCCCACTGCAATGAGTGACAAACTCTCCGGCCGCTCAACGGGTAGAAATTGCAGGAAGAGCGAATTCGCCTCGATCATACGACAAGTCAGAAGGTGGTGTAGAATTTTAATTACGGCTTGGAATGATTCTGGGTCCTCTGTAAATACCTCTTTGGACAACGAAGTCATCAGGTGGATGAAATTCTTCAAGCCACTCAATAGAGCCAGGCTGGTCGCTTGCTTCGACTTCTCCTGCTCAATCAAACGAGTTGAAGCTGAATCAGTGCTCTATAAACGCAACATTCAGAACTTACATACACATAAACTTACATACATATAAACTACAGATCACTTACAGTGAACATCACCGTCCAGCTCCATGGCAAAGATTCTAGCTCATCATTCTTCTAAGCCGAAAGTACTCAATTTCATATTATCAACTCACAGCCAATCCCTGACAAATATATGTAATACTACAGAAAGTGATCAACAGCCGGAACGAAGACAGCTTCCGGATACACGTCCAAACTAAGAGTTTAGAAGTAACAAGCACCACAAGCTGATGCCAATTCAAATCGGTTACTGAGCTAAACGCACATCCTACAACCATTGCATGAAGGAGAAAAGTAGATCATTTACCTTCATGTGAAGTGATACGGTAGTATGTACAATGTCGGCCAGTTGCTGGAGCATATGGCGGAGCTAGCACATCCAGCACAGCACATGACGTAAGGGCAGTAAATGCATGAATATTGCCGCCTGACGTCGGATAAAGTACTTCAGTTGCAGAAGTTTGTTGTGGCTCTGTCCCATTTGGCTCTGTTCCAAGCACGTGATCTATCACCAATTTCGCTTGCCGGGCTGAATCAAATTTCTTAATTGTTACTACACAATCAAAAAAAAAAAAAAAAAAAAAAAAAAAAAAAAAAAACTTCAAAGGACGTGAACGGTTCTTATGTTATCTACCTAGTGGTGCAAACCAAGAAACTTCAATAAAGATCAAAAGGTTGAATAGGCATTGAAGATTTAGCAGCTTGATGTGCAGGAAGTAAAAATAATCCCCTCTTTACTTCCTGCACATCTAGTACACCATGACTAGGAAAGAAATCAACAAAAAAAATGCGATCTCCCACATAAGTCTGAGAAGCTAAGGACGTCCTAAAGAGCATCAAGAGGAATGAGATACTTAGCGAACTTCAACCTTACATTCTGATGCGAGAAGTTCAATGAACAATCATGTACAAAATTCGACGTAGGAATACAGTTACTGTTCATACTGTTCAGCCTTTGCATCTTTTGGTCGAGAAAAGTGGCAGTACCTATTGATGGGTTCCTGTTCAGCTTCTCATCATGAGGATCTACCCAGTCATAGGCCCTGACGTGCATGCTTCCATAGAGCAAGCGACTGAGCACGGTCATGCCTGGATGATTGTGAAGTGGTATGCTAGCTGATGCAGGAAGAACAAAAACCCCCATCTTCGCAAAATAAATATAAACCCACCCGAATAATTAGATCCACATCAGGTCGGGTTGTACATTGTTAACTAACAACTTGCAGAAACCGCAACACTCGGGATGTCAAGCATGTAGACTAGGCCTTCAGTCATTCAACATGTAATTAAAGCTTCACAAGTAGGCTTCAGTCACGTGCCTTACTAGCAAAGTAGGTATCAGAATTCACATTCAACGCCTAATCGACAGAGTTCTCCACACTAGCTACCTAGTGGACTAGAACTTGGACTTCTCGTAGAAATATCACAGTTGCGGTGGAGAATGATACATAGAATCAATGTCTTGACAAGAGCTCAGACTGGGGTCTAAAATTAGGTTCCAGCTCTTACTGAGAAAAGGTCGCACTCGTATAGATGAAGATAACTGATTACGGGTACATATCTAGAGAGTATTGGCCGGCACTTCTCTTTACCATCATCGCCAAGACCTCGGTTGTGCTGATCGATGGTACCCAGCCCAAGGTCTTGTGGCTTGATAGAATCTGCAACCGAACCGCCAAGGCACGTTCTGTAAACAATCTTCAACAAAACGATCCGGACCAACAAAACTGCTCTTATTTCCAAGGAGCAAGACAACTCGTTCTGAAAATGGCAATGCCCATTGACAGCGTTAATTACCACGGCTGATGAAGAAACCGGATGCAGTGGCACTAAGAAATTCTGAGAAACCGGCAGCAGAACTATTGACCAGTGGGTTGCGGACACCCAACATGACAATTAGATTCTTTTAGATGCTTCGAGCAGATTCCAAGACATTTAGCTCATCATCTTCTCGAAGAACCCTGCACTAACTGGAACAAATTGCTCTACTTTTGACACAAAAGAATTTCATCGATGCCACGATCATCCGCAAAAGAAAAAAAATTGCAGCACGTACTCAACGAATGGCCGCCGGACGCTCAGTCCATTCCATTCCATTCCAATAGCAAATCGATCACTCACGCAAGGAGAAAGTGGCGAATGTACCAAGCACGGCGCGGACTTTCGCAACCTGCGCTTCCAAGGGCACACTAGCCGGCGTGAAAACTTTTTTACACACGTCGTACAGCTTTTGTACAGCAGGCGTCGATGTCATCGCCATTACTTTCTTCGACAGCTTCCCCTCCCCCCCTTCTCCTCGAAACCCTAATCGTCCCTTCACTCTCGTTCACGTACTCTCCGATGCAACCTCACGCTTCTCCTCGAACCACGGCCCCATTCTTTCCCACGCGCACCGCATCACAAACCTGTCCAACCCACAAACTCCATCGCCAACAACTTCAACTGTCCACTCGCCCCCGGATTTCCTCAAAATTCTCCCTCAAATTCCCTCCGCTTCCCACCCCAAAAGCTCCCACAAGCGCTCGTTCGCCATGGTGGACACAATCGACGGAATAGCGACAAAAATACAATGAAGCCATGAAATCCCGGACGGAATCGGCAAGGAAGACGACGACGCGGGGGGAGATCTGGATGCTTGAATGCCACTCCGGTGGGCCAGCAGCTCTGAGAGCCCAGCCACGGCACTAGGGGAGCGGCTTTAGGGACCCAGCGGTAATAGGATACTCCTGGTGATGTTAATATTGGCAACTCCTCATCGGAGAAGGCGCCTCATGTCCTCACGGCGACCTTTCTCAATGGGCCCCCTATTGCCGCCAAGCCCGTTCTCTTGCGTTCACACTCCAGCTCGGTTCGAGACTTTTTGGGCTCTGTCTGGAAGAAGCCTCGGAGTTCATTGCCTTGTTGCCGGAATTCTAGAATGCTTTGCCACGAGGAGCGCCGCCCGTGGTTCGCCAGTACCGGCCGTTATTTTGCAGCGTTGGGCGGCCGAGTTCCCACATTCATCGGCAATCTCCGATTAGCAGCGGTGGTGAAGAGCATATTCATCTGAACTGTGTGCGATTTAGGGCTGTGGGTCGTGGTCTGTTGAGGCGTTCTCTCTGTTCTGGATATCGATGTTTCGAAACCCTTGTATTCTAGATTAGCAATCCCCGTCGATTTGTCGCAGTTATTGTGCTTACGCCGGAAATACGTGGATTCTTTCAGGAACACTCTGTTTCGTCAAGTGGGCTGCTTCACCGGTGTTTTACGTCCATTCGCAATTAGGATTTAGGGTTTTCGACCTGATATATTTTTGAAGCAGAAGAATAATAACCAGATTTCATATGGAACTTGTTGTGACGTTTTTAGGTGTAAAAGTGGGAAATGTCTCCACAAAATGAAGTCTACTAACTTATGGTTAAGTAAGTTTGTTATTAGATTTACATCAAGTTATGATGTCTTAACTTTACTCGGTATGACATTTTAAGTTCCCAAATGTTTCTTTAACATTGAACAAAAAAGAATACCAAAGATAAGTTTCATGCATTTAAGTACACTTATATATATATATATATATATATATAAACACACAGACATACATACATACATAGGAAAATGTTAAAATGACCCAGACTTTTGTTAAATTGACCCACATGTCTAAACCTTCAACCTCCGTCCCTGTTCCCTTAAGCCCATCCCCATTCCCTCCGTTCCCCATTTCTCCCAGGCCCGTCCCCAGTTCCTCAGCCCCGACTCCCAGCCCCGTTTCGGCGACATCACTGCTTGGAATTCATGGACTAGTGGGCCCTGTACACAATCGGCTCAAAGTTCAGTGCTGCTCAGCAAAGCTTCAGAATTCGGGTCAAAAACTTATAAATCGGAACGAAAGACTTACAGACGAAATAAAATTATGACCTCGTATCAACCCGGTTTTGAGGTTGATGCACAATGGAGCGGACGTTATTATCGCCATAACTTGTAGCTTGTTTAGAAAGTGGACTGGAGAGGTGCGATGCAGAGAGTGCACATGTAATCAAGGAATCCCTGGAAACACACTTGCTGGAAATAATCAAGGCCGTGATCGAGCTCAGTCGGATAGGCAAGGTAGGCAGAAAGAGGAGCAGGGCCATGCGACGACTTCATCGATGGATTTCTATGTGGCGTGGATCTGGACCATTTAAGACTGGGAGTAAACTTGTTGTGAAAATGATAACGTGAAAAGTGGTTCGGCTCGAGCTGCCTCAACAGCAAATAGTAAGCCCGTGTTGTGCGACTCCACAGAAATCATATATGCAGTCCAGCAGCCTTACGGCCTTAAGGTGAACACATCATAAGTGCTTCAATGTTGGTTCTGATTTCAAACACACAAGGGAAATATATTTGCATTCAGGAACGTGTTGTAGCACAAGTGCAGAATGCCATGAATAACAGTTGGTTTAGCTTTGGGGAATGACACACGGTTTTTAGATGCAGCTTGCAATTGCACGGGTCTGTAAAGATACAAATTCGGTGACTCTACCAGTTGGGAATTCAAGTGGTAATTCTCAAGGACGCAGCTTGGGAAGCCTCTTGGGCCGAGCCATGACACCACCACTTGACATACCATTAATGTTCCGCAACTCGAGTAGAGTGTGAGGCTCAGATGCACTGGGCTTGTCACGGTAGTTTCTCAGTCACTTGAACGAGTGGAACCACCAACCTATAGTAGCCACATGGAGAAGCTGGATGAAATTGAGATTCAAGAGCAACGTCAAGACCAGCCGATGGATCCCTGAACCGGATACCTACTTAAAGGATGTAATTCTATGCTGCAGTTAGAATGTTGCGGTCACTAGTGCAGGCTATGAGTTGTTACTAGCACAGTGAAAAGAGAGACCTTATAGATACAAGAGCCAGCTATAATGTTTCATTCATATGAGTTTGCTGTTGGAATACAAATTCCATTTTTTTCTTTTTTCTTTTTTCTTTTTCCATCATTGTAACAGCTTGTACCCAATCGAGCTCTGATTCGTAAAGGAGTGGTTTTTGAAGATTAATCTCTCTTTGAGAAACCAAGAAAATCCATACCAACGAAGGTACTGGCCCTGTATGTCTCTGTCACTGGTTCGTGCTTCCAAGACACGGAGATATTACATCAGAACATAAGAACATCAGAAAATCTAAGTGCCGCTGAAAAATGCAGAGTCTTCATGACTCGTCCAACCTCCCGGGAACGTGAGAGGTCTGCCTAGCACTAAGATTTCCTCTTCAACCTACCAGCTAAATTGTCAGTTTGAAAATCTATAAAATAAATAAAAATAGAACACATCTTGATCAAGTTTACACGAACGTGAAGCGACTTACCAATTCACTTTTATTAACTGAGGTAGGATGTGGTTGCTGCCATCACTTACTCAATTCAGTTAATAACAGGAGCACACTGCTTAGTTTGAGGTGCAGCTCAGTCGTCAGTGCCTCTTGAAACTTGGCTCATCTCCATGGAAGGTTGACTCGTGTTTTCTCACGTCACGAGGACGGGGAAAGGAGACGGGGGCTGGGGGAACGAGGGGAACAGGTGAACGGGGACGGGGGCTGAGGGAACGAGGGGAACAGGTGAACGGGGACGGGGGCTGAAGGAGTGCAACGAAAGTTTCGACATGTGGGTCAAGTTTACACATCTGGGTCATTTTAACATTTTCTTATATATATGTATGTATATATATATATATATATATAGATAGATATATATAATGTTACAGCGTTTTAATTTATAATCTCAGGTTACAAAGTATTTTCTTTTCATACCAATGACAAATTTTCTCGAGATTAAAAATACATTTTACTCATGTGTATGCCACTAAACAAGTAATATTATTTTACTGAGCCAAAAAATATCTTTAGTGGTATCACTGCTTTGCCACTTACAGACATCAAAGCAAAAGAAAAGTCTTGCAATTTTTTTGGAAGTTACTTTGAGGATTACTATTATTAGAATAAATGAGTTATTATACTTATAAATTAGTATAGTTTTAAAATGACAACAAACAATGAATCATAGTATTAAGAATGTAAGTTTACTTTGAATATAAATATGATATCAATAAAATTATATTTGAAATCAAAATTTTAATTATCAAAAAAAAAAAAAAACTTAAACTTATTTTACACATACATCAGATCTGTACATACAATATTTATTTTTTCATCCTTCAACCTACATCCTACATCCTAATAGATTATAATTTTGAACACAACTGAGTAGTTGTTAAAGACTAGAGTTGAAATTTACATTCATTTCCAATATTGTATGCAGTACAAAATCATGTTTTTTGTATTTAATATGTTTATTATTATTTTATTGTTAAGTGGTCAAAATATCATCCCTCTTTACTATTGTCAATGTTTGTTTATTAGGCTGCAAGACACTCACATGTAAGAATGTACTTTTCTCATCTTATATTTATTAAGATTTATCCTAAATATTAAAGGTATAAAACTAACTTGCATGTAATTTATTCTTATTCGTCATTATCAAATAGTTCAAATTAATATATATATATATATATATATAGGAATTTTTAACTTGTATAAAAAAATTAAATTACATTTTATAATTAATTTTAATCTTGTAATATTTTTCCATAGTGTTAAAACCAACATCTTTAATATTTTGAAAATTTTCAAGTTTGAAAATGTTGTTTGTTTTGCTTTATATTCAACTCTTGGACTTCTATCTTAATTAATTTGCATTTGATATTTTATTATTTAATTTTAAATATTAATCTATTATCATAGCTTTTATATTTTTAGAATAAGATAAGTCTTGCGTGCATTTTAAAAAACTCAAAGTCTACAATTTGAAAATATATAGTCTGTGTGGCAGAAAAAGTGAGTATGTCTTTTATTTAAAGAATCCTTTTGTAAACTTGCAAGATTAAATTGATGAAACTGTTCAAAATCATATTACTTATTGTTGAACTATCAAAATTGGTTACAATGTAATTTATGTGTCTTAATATCTCAGGATGTTAAAGTAAAGTACATATATTTCACACACAAGTCTCAAAAAAGGAATTATACAAAATATTAATTGTGGTTTTTGAAATGAATTAAAATAAATCATTGTAATAGGGAAAGAAACCAAATGATGTAAAAGAATAAAAGAATAAAAGAATAAAAAATAAAAACAACCAAAAGTTCCACAAAAATTCAAAGAATAGATGATATTATATTTATCTTTTCAATATTGTAATATAAATTTCCAAAAATATAAAATATTATATGTAAAAGGCATAATATATGCATATTTTATATTAAGAAAAAAAAATGTGTGCATTATTTTGGCCAAATCAAAGTTGGTTAAATACATTTATAATTTTTTTATAAAAAAAACTTTTATAGAAGAATTTTTTGTGATTAAATTATTTTAAAAAAATTTAATTTGTATTATACTAAATTAAATAAGAAATATTCTTTAAAATTATAGTCACTAACTGAAACCAAGCAAAACCATAGTAATGTGCTCTTCCAAGAATAAACCACATAAAATTTATAATAATAATAACAGTAATAATAAATTTCTATAAAAAGAAATAATTGCACCATTAGAATATGACAATTAAGAAAGATAGGGGCCAAGAAAAATCGAACCTTACATTAGAACTTAGAGGGATGATTACCACATTTTTATTTTTATTCAACTAAGGAACTTGGTTTCTTTTATGTATTAATTATTTTTTGTTACATGCCTTCTTGCTCAATTTAAGAGCCTAGAACTTAAGAGGCTATAATTTATGACCTATGGACTAAGAAACTTCAAGGGATCCATAGCTTGAGAAAAACAAAGAAGAAAGACGGTGAAGGAGAAGAACAGAGGACTTAGTTAAAACAAATGCACAATGGTTAAATTTTACAAAAAAGTTGAGGCCATTTGCACCACCAAGATTGAATCTACAAACCTCATGGTTGTAGAAAAAAAAATCTTATGACCAACTACTGTAGTTTTTGCAACTAATGCATTTATATAATAAAGAAGCTCAGTTACAAGACAAACATACAAAGCAGCCTTTTCATTAGCCAAAATAAAATAATAATAAAAAAAATAGTTAACCAACAAAAAGACCTCCAGTTTACTATATGTAAACAACTTTTTTTTGTGGCCAACAACATAGGTTTCAACTAATTACTTATAAAACTTAAAACTATTTATTGTTTTTTTTTATTGTAATTTTTCTTTCTTTTTAGTATATGTCTAACCTATTATCCACCCACTTCTTTGAATTTGGGCTTAATTCTTCCTTCAATGATTACCCATTATGCTGTATTTGTTTGGAATTCCATTGAAGCAGTAATTTTTATTTAATATAGAAAAATAGGTGAATTCATTATTTATTTTCATATATATATATATATATATGATTTTTTAAAAAAGTAAATATTGGAGAAATGAATATAAATTTAGTCAATAGAACATCTAGAATGGTGATATTTTTATAAGCTGTTTATTACTTGCATTGATGAGTGTCAAAGTAGAAGAAAAATTTATTAAATTTTCAGTCTCCTTCCAACAGATT